TTTTTTTTTTTCCTTTTTTTTTTTTTTCTTCTTTTTTTTTTTTTTAATTTTTTTCTGCTTTGCTTTTGTTGGCTCCCGCGTCTTGAGAATGAGGCTTAGTGTGGAGTTGTGGAATATTTTCAGATGGCAATTGCCAAAAGAAACGGGGGAAAAAGTAATTGGAAGGAAAATAAATGCAGGAGGAAAGGAAACATAAAATATGGGCTGAAGTATAAACGTTGTATTTCGTAAATTTAAGCCAGACAACTAAACAAATCCCTGTATAGTACTCTGTAACAGAACTACTTTCTCTGCATCTTACTTACATTTCCTTAAATTAAAGCCATTGTCTTTATATCGAAATTCAGCACTGGATATGTACTGAGCTAGATTTTTTCCCGCACTGATTCAAAGATTTAATTCTTTCTAGGGATAAAGATCAACAGCCACTCCCTGCTTTCTAGCAAGAGCCTTCCTATCAAATGTTTGTCTACAATGGCATTGCTAAACTTATTATGAGTAATTATTTTTTTCCTTGGGCAGTAAAATTATATTGAAATTAAAAAGTGTTTATGCATCGTCATACTAAGTAATAACTTGGCACAGCATGTTGCATTATAATCGTGGATAAATTATGGCGAGAGCAGATTCCAAACCAACAAAATCTTCTCTACTATGAACCACATCAAGATACTGCTTAGTACACAAGCCATAATCATGTAGTGCTCCCAGGTCGCTTATAACTTACGAGCACCGTTTTATCACTACATTTTACTTCCCGGAAAAGCTCAGTGCCAAAGAGGGGTAGTCCAGATCTTACAAGGAAAAAAAAATACAATTAATCCATCCTAGAGGATTATTTTTAAAGCGTGTGAGAATATTACCATGACCAAAAACTTGAAATCTCCTCCTGTTCTCCCTTTCCCGATTGGAAAAACAAAATTAGAAGTGCATTTACAGGCGCGGTAATCTAGCCTGATCCTGTAAGCGACAAAACGAAAGATTTCAGAAGGTGTTTCAGAAGCAGCGTTATGCCTAACTCGCAGAGGGTGGGGGGAGTCAACAGGGTGGCGGGGACCCTTGTCTAGGGGTCCTTCTAGCATTTATTCATTTAAGGCTTTTTGATAAATCTAAACGGCTGGCAGGGAAAAATAAGACGAAAGCAAAATACATTAAAAAAAAAGTGACAGCGATAAAC